TTCCAACTTCTCGCGGGGAAAAAAAGATCTCGCAAAGTTGGAATTGATTGAACTTTTAGTCCCACCCAGTCTGCCATTATCACCGCAGCCACACCCACCCAATTGGCCATGCCCACATAATGGGCCACGCCCACCTGGCACCCGACGATACATAAGTGGGTTTTTCAGTTTGGGCACTCGGTCTCTAAAAGGTTCACCATCACTGATATAGTGACTCCTGCTTGAGCAGAGGGCTGGAGTAGAAGACCTCCAAGGTCCCTTCCAGCTCTATTCTGATTATTATTGTTATTATTATGATGATCATTGCAGTAAAACATAAAGAGTAAAGTAAACATCTTTTAGTTTAAAAGAAACCAATTAGTATTTTTACAGTTTGTTGGAGGTTCAAGAAAGTGTAAGATTTACACTTCATTACTTGAAAAGATTTATCTTCAGTAGTAAACATGTGAAGACTGTTTTATAACAAAGTAATTTAAAAGATTAACATTTGGCTTCACCTTATATACAATAGATGACAGCAATGCAAACAGATGTTTTGGAATATACTTTTGATCATCTTAATATGAAATTGTAATAGATCAGCGGTTCTCAACCTGTGGGTCATGACCCCATTTGGGGTCGAACGACCATTTCACGGGGGTCGCCAAACAACGCAGTTTGCCATTTTTTTTACCCTTTTCCTTAGCTGTGCTACTCCCTCTTATTGGCTTTCAAAAGTGCCACAGGTGGCATGCAGAGCCGTTCCTGCCTCCCTTCTCTTTGCGCATGCGCAGCTTTTTTCTATATAAACTAAGGAAGCTTCGGTTTCGGAGCACGTGGCAGAAAGCGAGACAGAGAACAAGTGGCAGAAAGCGAGAGAGAACAAGCAGCAGAAAGCAAGAGAGAGAACAAGCAAAAGTGGTAAGTTTCGTCTCTGTCCTGCCGCTGAGCTTGCTCTGCTTGGCCACTGGACACCCCAGCGGCCCCAGAACACCCTGCCCGCATTTCCTGCAATTTCGCAGCTGGTCCAGCGGCTAAAAAACACCTCGCGGCCGCCGGCACTTCTCGTAATTTTGCAGCCAGCCTCCCCCTTCGCCAGTCTCTCCGGCCGCCTCTCCTCCATTCCTTCTGCCCTGACCTTCGCTTCTTCCCTTGTGCTCAGATGCCCTCTTGCAAGAAAACTAGCAAAGTTGCTGGAGAACCAAAATAGATAGAAGTATTCGTCACGCGAGTGCACAGAGAGAGCCAGAGACGGAGCTTTGCGCATCAACGAAATATTAGTAAGTCTTCCAGGCTAAGCGGAGGGAAGGAAAAGCCCAGAACATGGCGATAGGGTGGCAAGCGAGCCTCCAAAAAGGACTCTCCAAGCTTGCTGAAACTATCCCGGGAAGGAAACTGAAGGCGCGCGCGAATCCCAGGCTTTGTTTCCAGCCCTGTGGAGTGGCCAGCTCCCTGCTACCTTCCATCCATGCCTGAAGCCTCTGCTGCTTTGGGTAGCCGCTACAGACCCCCCGCCCCTGCGACTTCAGGGACCGAAAGGAAGACGGAGGGAGGGAAAGAAACCAAGAAACTTACTTGCCAAGGAGGCGCCAGCAGATGAGAAGAGCGGGGGGGGGCACGTTCGTCCACTTCACTGATTCCTGCAGAAGCCGGCGCAGCCGCTGGCTCAGCCCCGGCAGCCAGTCAGAGCGAGCGAGCGCGTGCGCCACGGCCCTCTCCCAGTGAATGGGATTAGCCGAGCGCGCATCCCGGCCTCTGTAGCTGCCGAGCAACGTTCAGGCATGCTCAGTTGGCTGACCTTCCCCGTGTAGAAAGTACCATTGAATGGAGGGAGGGAAAAGGGGGATGTGCAGGGGCAAGAAGGAAAGAAATGGATGCTACCATCAAGAGGCAAGCTAAAAATAGACGCGGAGGGAGGAAGGGGGGGGAATTGCTGAAAGTTAAAGAGACAGGAGCTGAGCTGAGGAGGCTCTCTCCTGATTGTGGACCAATGCAGCAGAAGAACACGATGATCTCCCCACTATAAACTGAGCACATCTAGACTGGTGGTAAGGAATGGTCATTAAAGAAAGAAAATCCCATGGTTACATTAAAATTTATGTGAAGCATCTGTACGTAAATATACTGCACCCTTTATTGTACACAAAATGGCAAAGAAAGCCTCTTTGTAACATGCCCCGGAAGAAAATATATGTAGGTAAGTATCTTCTCTTTCAGTTTTCAGAAGGAGAATTGGCTTCACAACTAACATTTTTTATTTATTTGGCATTAACAGTCCAAGGTAATTGTCCTGCATTTCATTAATTCTAGATGTCCTTTCTAAATAGGATATATAAATAAGTCCTTCATTTGGGAATTCCTTTCTACTCAAGGGGAAGATGCTTATTGCTGCGTGTAAAAAAAGAAAAAAAAAACAGGATTTCCCATCCCTTAAACCTGGAGAGACGGTGGGTCAGCAATGGGAAGTTAAGAATGGGCAGCTTGCCCTCCTCTTTCTGAATTATAGTAGCCTGGGGATTGCCTGGTGGGAAAAAAATTGGACTTCAGGATCAATGTTGCATATTGTGGATGAATCATTGATCGTCATTTGAGAAAATATTGACTCCTGTTGGCTCCTCCCCTCCCCTCTCCTCTCCCCTTTTCTTNCAAATAATGGAGTAATTACTTTGTTGAAGTGCTTAATTACATGTTATGACTTCCAGGAAGATGGTTTGAAAATGGGTTGATTTCTTCTGCTCTTTTCCTTTTTAATATTTCATTTCATATTGTTTTTGTGATTAATCACTATGCTTTAATTATGTTCAATGCAAATACATCCTGCATATCAGATATTTACATTGCGATTGATAACAGTAGCAAAATTACAGTTATGAAATAGAAACAAAAATAATTTTATGGTTGGGGGTCACCACAACATGGTGGCCATGCCCACTTGGTGGCCACGCCCACCTGGTGGCCACACCCACTTGAGTACAACCCACAGGTTGAGAACCGCTGTCCTACATGAACTTGAGCACATTTTTTTCCCGACACCGCCTATTTTAACCCCTCCTTTCTCATTCGGGCATTTAAATAAACTTTCCTGTGCTAAGTACATCTGCCCGGAGATGAAGGGAGAGGGGGATAACGAAGTTGTGCCCATCTGCTTCTATTAGTTGTAGCTCCCACCCTGACAATCCTTCTACAAATGAAGCTGGGAAAGTGCCGAAGATCGGTGGCTGACCTCAACATTGGGGGGGGAGAACCACGTTCAACCTTGGCCCCAAACTCCTTCGAGGATCACGTGGGAACCAGCGGGACTGAAACACAGCGAACACCCTTGTACTTCCTGCCTGCCTTACTTCTAGGCCTCCTCTCGGGCTCTCCTTCATCTCGCCTTCCCGCCATTAGCTGCTTACCTCGCGGCCGGCGCCCTCCATGGTCAGCGGTCCAGAGTCACCGCTCGCCCGGTGCTCCCAGGAGTTTCCTGGTCCTACTTCCTGGTTACGGCCAGAAACACACCCTCGGACAGGCCCCCTCGAAAGAGAAAAGGAGGAGCTCCGGTCACGCCCACTCGGAGCCGGGACTCTGAACCAGGCCCCTGGCAGCCTGGAGGTGGCTTGCAGTCAGTGGCGGGGCGACAGCCCTTGTCCCCGCCCGCTTTCAGTGGAACCGTTTTGAGAGCTTCAGATAAATGTTGCCGAGGATTAAAACTGCAGTGTAATACCCAGGTTCCCTCAGACCTTTGTAGCATCCCCCACAGTCACATGATCAAAATTCATATGTTTGGCAACTGGTTCATACTTATGACCGGTTGCTCTGTCCCAAGGTCATGTGATGACCTCTGACCTTCTGAACCAGCAAAATCAATGGGGAAGCCAGATTCACTTAATAACTGGGTTGCTAGCTTATCAACTGTGGTGATTCACTTAACAAATGTGCAAGAACGGTTGTAAAATGGGGCAAAACTTGCTTAACAAATGTCTCACTTAACAACAGAAAGTTTGGGCTTATTTGTGGTCATAAGTCGAGAACTATCTGTACTCAAAGGTCATTGAGCTGAAAGGGATATTCATAATTTTGAGACACTGGGAGAAGGATGCAGTTTTATATCCCTTATGTGCTATATAGACTGATGGTATTTATTTGGGATCCCACTGAAGAACGTGGGTTTGCTGTTTAGGCTTGCAAAGTGCTGTATGCTGTTTTGGTACAAAATAAGATGCCATCGTCACTCTAAGGAAATCTAACTGTCCTGCTAGGTCAGATAGGATGGGCACACTCCTAATTCCTTTCCTTAAATATTGCCATCTGATGGGAGCCCCTAGCCTATGAAACTCTCTTCCCCCCCTTAAGTTTGGCAGGCCTCTCCCCTCCTAGCTTTCCATAAGGCTTTGAAGACCTGGCTTTCCCCCCAAATGCTGGGAGATAATCTGAACTTTGGAAGTTTGATTTGGTGCCAGGTTTTTGTTCTTTTTAGTATTTTAAGGGAAGCTGTCCTATAGTCTCTTGATTAGCTTAGTTGCCCTCCACTGAACCTTTTCTAGCTCCACTGTATCCTTTCTGAGGTACAGTGACCAGAACTGTACAAAATATTCCAGACGGTTGCATCATTGATTTATAAAAGGGCATTATGAGATTGGCATCTCTATTTTTGATACCATGATTTATAATCCCTAACATGCTGTTGGCCTATTTTACATTTGATGCACATTGTGTCAAAACTTTTATTGAACTGTTTATCGTTACTCAAACTGTTTATCATTACTCAATCATTTTCAAAATGGAAATGTATGGATTTAGAGGGTGTTGAAGACTCCAGAATCTTCAATGCAAGTAAAATAATGGGAGAATAATCTTCTTGTCAGTTATAGTTCACAATTTCCCTTTAGCCAGAATAGTAAAACTGAAATTACTGGACGGGTTTTTTTTATTTGGGGTGGGGAGGAAGCAAAACAAATCAGTACAAAAAGAAACTTTTAAAAAATAACTTTTAAAAGTGTATATAATGTGCATTTTATTTTATGTTAAATATGTTATTTTTAACATATTAAGAAATAAGCAAATCATACACCCTTATATGCGCCAAAAATACTGTTGATAAATGTATCTGCAAACTTGTTTTTGCAAACTATTTTAAGTCTAAAATAAGCATTTAGAAAATCCCTGGAATGAGTCGGTATGGTACTGCATCAGTATATCTTTTCCAGTCTTTGCCATACTTGTGGGAGCATCGATGTTCATCTCTAATGCAGCGGTGGATCAGGAGAATGGTCATAAAAATTATGTAGAAATAAGGAAGAATATGATTAAAACCACAACACAGACAGTATGCCAGGGAGCCCATCAAGTCTCCAGTATAGTTAAAATGGCGGGTCACACCCCAGAATCCTGAAATCAACAATTTACTGTAGTGTTTAGTTCCATTGATTAATGTGTAGGTACATTCAATATATTTGGGTTTCTCACCCCATATTTTACAGTTGCCATCAGTGCGACGGAAGAGATCTCTCTGATGATTGGCTATTATTAAAATATAGTAGCCCACCAAACCCAGTAGAAGAATTCCAACTGCATAACTGGTAGTAAGCTGGACAGGATGATAGACCAAGTACAACCCCTAGGTAAAAAAGAGAATCAGTAGCATATTGTCAGATTTATTCAGCACTCTTTATTTTCCTTTACATTATCTGGGTTCTTGCTTGATTAAGTCCTCAGTGTCAACTCTTAACAAACACATAGACTTTCTCCACAATATCTATCCTCATCCACAAAGCAATTCAAAGCGTTGATTTTAACCTTTAGGGCCCTGTGTGTCTTTGGAACCCTAAAGGACCCTTATCCCTTATCCCTCCATCCAAGCTTTATCATCTACCGGTAGTAAGTGTCTTTTCCAGGATCTCTGACGAAAGGACATGAAGTGAGGTTCTATGAAGGGGAGGGGTTCCCCCCCCTGTGGTGGCACTTCATTTATAGAATTTCTGCCCCAGAGAGGCTCAACTGGCATCCACAATATCATCCTTTTAATGTTAGGTGAAGACCATTTTATTTCCCCAGGATTTTAACTGGCTTCTCAGTACCAGGCTTTTAGTTTATATGATGTTTTTATTTTGTATTTTGGTATTATCATACATGTTTTAGGTTATATTTTTGTGTGTTTTATTGTAAATTGTCCAGAGAGTTTTGGCTATTTTAATGAAAATAAAGTACAGTTGCAACTTGCAATAATGGACAGGCAGATAGAGCAAAACCTCCATTCATAGCCAGAGCAAGGATTACTCCCCTTCCCTTGCCTTGGTCTCACAGCTGCTAAAGAATCCAAAGTTTAGGAAAGCAAATTTCAAACAGGCCACATCCCTGTCCTTAACTGTGCTTAACTGTCCTTCACTAACACACACAAGTCTTTATGCTCATTTACAACCAAATGAGATGACTAGCAACATGTCTGCCTAAATCCAAGACTGAAGCTGGAGGACTGGAAAATTGGACTGGCATCAGATTAACAGATCCCCTTCCTCTGAAATGGCTAACACAGAGCCTCCACAATTTCCCTGCCATAATTCCCCTGGCCCATCACGACTGCAGTACAACTAGCACTTGACTTACAACCACAATTGGGCCCAGAATTTGGCTTGTAAGATTTTGCAATAGTTAAGCTAGATGCTCACTTGATCAGTTTGCTTAACAACAGCAATCCCAGCTCTCCCAATTGTGGTTTTAAGGGACCGTTTGGGTCGTTAACCCTAAAGAGGGTGTAGGCAACTCCTTTTCAGGTGTGGAAGGGAACTCCTGTGCTGAGCTTGAGAAACGAAACTCAGATACCAAAGATTTGAGCTTTGTTTCTCCAGCCCACTGCAGGACTTCCTCTCCCATCTGTGTGCAGAAGGGAGCCGCTGCACTGGGCAGGAGAAAGGAAACTTGGACCTTTGAGATCCAAGCTTCCTTTCTTGGGCCCACTCGGTGGTTCCTTTCCCCTCTGTGTGCTCAATCTTCAGGAATCTTCAGGATCTTCTTTTCTCTGGCTTGTCACAGAAACATCAAATTCACTAGCTTTCTGGCTAAAAAGCTAGCAAACACCATGTTTCTGAAGGCAAGTAAGGCTGGAAAGAAGCCGGAGCTTTGGCATGGAAGCTTCTTTTTTCCAGATCATAAGTAACTTTTCCTGAGTCTGTTCTAACTTTGAACTGTCATTAAGTGACAGTTGAGAACTATTTATTTAGATTTCCCATTTCTAAACCGCTCAAAAACTACCTGTGTGTACATTCACATCTCTGCATAATTTTCCCCCTTCAAGCCTATCCAGCAGAAGTGAGCTGACTAATCATGCCAATCTCTGAAACCCTGACTATGAAGTCCTTTTCAACTCCTGTTATTGTATCCCAACTTCCAGCTATGAAACCAAAGTCCCAAAGGTGCTTTTTCAAAAGGCAACTGGACTTCCTTTGTTTTTTTCTTGAAGACATTTTGTTTCTCAACCAAGAAGGCTTCTTTAGTTCTGAAGAAACTTCTTGGATGAGAAGCGAAATGTCTTCAAGGAAAAACAAAGAAAGTCCAGTTGCCTTTTGAAAAAGCACCTTTGGGACAACCATTACCTGGATGACTGAGAATCTCCTTAGACATATGAAACCAAAGCCACTCTTGCTAGCCTGTGAACTTCCCCCACATTCACAACAAGCATGTTGATCCTTTCCACACCTATTTGGAACCCCATCCGACTGACCCATTACTCAACTTCAGGGCAGTTTTATTCTCTATTTCAAGGGGGCCTGCCTACTATTCTTCCCTGTCTCTCACCCAGACTTGGACCATAGCTCTCTAATAACAAAATGCACCTTCTAATCACCAATGATCACAGGTGACTTTACCAGCAACCTCCAATCTTTATCAGCCACGGCAATCATGACCTGACAACTCTATTATAGCCATTGCTTACTTTATCTGCCAGCATATCAGGTTCAGAATTGTGCCAAGTGACTTTCTTCCCAACAACACTACAAGTGGCCCTCAACTTACAATTGGCCACTTAGCAACGATCTGAAGTTATAATTGACCCTGAAAAAGGGATTTACATCTGAAGTTCTGATAACCAGGCATACCTGCTGCAGTCCTGTAACTACATTTTGGGCACTTAGGAACTGGCTCACATTTATGACTGTTTGTAGTGCCAAGGTCATATAACCATGATTTGTGATGTTTTTACCAAAAAATGGTGTTTACTTGCAGTTTCCAGCAAAAAACCCAATAGTGAATTGCTTAATGATCACACTGTTCATTTTACAGCTGCTGCAAAAATGACCGTAAAATTGGATCAATTACATCCACTTTATGGCCCACTTTATGACCACAATGTGCAGGCTCTATTACTACTACTACTACTACTACTACTACTACTACTACTACTACTACTACCACCTATTATCATCATCATCATCATCATCATCATCATCATCATCATCATCATCATCATCATCATCATCATCATCATCATCACTTTGAATGTATACCAAACGGCATACATCAAAATGAAATTTTGTTGCATACAGCTCTCAAAGGGCCACCACCTCTGATATACTGTACACTCATTTTTCATGGCCAGTTCAAATTTCAGATCATCCATTTTATTGTCTAGGGAGCAAATGATGGCAAATAGGACAGATGGAAACGGAGCTCCATGTGGACTAGTCCTCAAATTAGCTTGTATTCCTGCAGGACAATCTCGCCTCCTTTTCTTTTTCTGATCCTGTCTCTTCCACCTTTTCCTTAAAGGGGTCTTGCTCCTTTTCACCCCTTTTCGATCACATCCACTTTATGACTGCAATGAGCAGGCTTCATTATGGTTGTAAGACAAGGACTACCTGTACCACTTCCACCTTCAATTCCAATCTGTTCTGCCCTCTTCAGTATCTTTCCCTATCTCTTATCACCTTTCAACCCACTCTTTACTCACTATCTCTACTCTCAGCTGTCTTCCTAAACAACCTCACATTATCATCACATTTTTGTATATTTTCTATTTTTTTCCACCTCATCCTGGTCTCATCATCCAAATTCTTTGAGTCTCTCCCTCTCTCCCCTTTTCTCTCTCTTTTCTTCAGCTCTGGTTGGTCTCTGAAAGTCTGTGTTTCACTTTTTCAACTCTGGCATATAGCTATCAGGCACTGGCCTACAGCCACCACACAAAACATCAGCTTCCAGTTGTTTTTCCAGCTAACCTTCAACTGCCACATAATAGCAACCATAATACTAGGAGTTGCCCATTACCTCCCCAAAATAATACTGCCAGGGCAGTTTACTCCCTGAAGCAGTAGGCCCAAACATTAAAAAAAATAAATAAATCCTTATACGTGAACAGCTGTCATGATACCCCAGGTGCTGTCTTAAAGGGTGAAACATTCTGTTGTTTCTAGAAGCAGCTGAATGTAAACAAGAGTAAATGCATATGATGAAATACCTGCAGAGTATAGAGATAGGGAAGCCAAACACAGTCTCCCCAGGCCAGATACCATCCAAAGTGATCATGAGCAATATCCATTGTTTTTAAATACCAAGTTTCATTCCAAAAAAAGTCCAGAACATACAGACCCTGAAAAATATACACATTATTATTACACTTATAAAAAAATAGGCATGTGAATAAGTACTATCTTTGAGAGAGAGAGAAGCTCAAATTTATCTAGATATAAAATGCAAGTCATGGTTTTTGGGATTACATTTACATAGGATTAATGATTAAAATTCTAAATTAATGATTCTATCAGCACTTTCACAGAGCCCTATAATTGAAGAACATGATACTCCAATGTCCTCTTTATCGCAAAGGTGATTTTTCCAAAAGGCAACTGGACTTTCCTGGTTTTTTCCTTTGAAAATGTTTCATTTCTTATCCAAGAAGCTTCTTCAGTTTTAACTGTCTGGAAGGGAATGGAAGGATTTATATTCTTTGTAGTCATCTAGTCCAGGGATCCCCAACCCCCGGTCCATGGACCAGTACCTTGCCGCAGCATGCCCAAAATCAGTCCACACAAACAAGCAAAGCCCCATCCACGAGATGCAGGCAACACACAAAACCACACACCCTCTGGTCCACGGAAAAACCTCTCTCCACGGAACTGGTCCCTGGTGCCCAAAAGATTGGGGACCTCTGATCTAGTCATTAGCACTCTCAGGGTTGGTTATTAACTCTAGAAGAGTAGTTGAGGCCACTTGGTGGTTTATGTATATCCTCAGAATCACTTGAATCAGAGGGCAAAGAGGTGTGTAATATTTTGGGGACTGCTGAAAGTATTGGGTTGTAGACAGGAGATACATGGTATCATATCCCTCCCCCTCTGATAAGGGGGATTTTAACACAGATGGCTACTTTTACCCCTCTTTCAAAACAATGATCCTCTCTGTCCAGAATGGGAACTTTGCTGTCTTCAAAAGAGTGACCCTTTTCTTTTAGATGAAGATGGACTGCTGAATCTTGTTCTGATGAGTTTGTTCTCCTGTGTGGTGTCATATGTTTGTGAAGTGGTTTTGTTTTCACAATGTGCAGATCTGCACATCTTACTGCATTGCACCGCAGCGCAGTGGTTAGAATACAGTATTGCAGGCTAATTTTGCTGACTGCCAGCTGCCAGCAGTTCAGGAGCTTGATTCTACCTGCTCAAGATTGATTTAGCCTTCCATCCTTTCAAGGTCAGTAAAATGAGAATCCAGATTGTTGGGAGTAATATGCTGACTCTATAAACTGCTTAGGGCTGTAAAGCACTGTAAAGTGGTATATAAGTCTAAATGCTAATGCCACATACTACGTTGCTCAATTTGCGTCTGGGTGTTTTATTCTTGTAGTGGATAAGTTTCTACCTTAATGTATTCCTAGGTTTAAAGTGTACATGTATGCTGTGTCGGTTGAAAATCCTTCTGAAGTTTTCAGTTATTCCTGCAATGTATGGAATGACAACGTTACTGTTTGTTGTTCTCTCCCTTGTCTATTATGAAGGAGCTCCTGCTGGATCTCTTTGTAGTTTTCATGAAGGCCCCGTTAGGATAGCCACAGGTTCTGAGGGCTTCCTTGATATGTTTTTGTTTTTTCTCTTTGCCCTCTTTGGTGATAGGCATACCTTCAGCCCGGTGGTGTAGGGTCCTGATTATTCCCGGTTTGTGGATCAGTGGGTGGTGAGAATCAAAATGTAAATACTGAGCAGTGTATAGGTATTCTATATACTTCAGTGATGAGGCTTCTGACTTCCTTGATGTATACTTGCACAATCCAGGAAAGTCAGACTATTTTCCTTAACATCTTCCTGGGTGAACTTAATATTTGTGTTGATGTGTTTGGTGAAGGCTTTCACTTCCATTTTCTGAGTTTTAATCTTGAATCAGGTATCACCCACAGTGAGTAGGTAGAATTAGACATCCAATGCAAGCATCTGATTCCATCTACTCAAGGGTATAGGTATGAAGATTAAAACACAGGAAGTGGAACCCTTCATCAAACACATAAACACTGTGGACAGAAACATTAATTTCACACAGGAAAAGGTTAAGGAAAATTGTGTGGCTTTCCTGGATTGTGCAAGTACATATCAAGCCTCAACACTGAAGTACACAGAAAACCTATACAAAGATCACTATTTACGTTTTGATTCTTCCCACCCACTGGACCAGAAACTGGGAATAATCAGGACCCTATACCACCGGGCTGAAGGTATGCCTACCAGCAAGGGGGGGGGGGGAAGGAACAAAAATATATCAAGGCAGTCCTTAGAACTTGTGGTTATCCTAATCATCAAATCTACGAAAGGATCCAGTAGGGACCTTCTTCAAAATGGACAAAGAAGAGAACAACAAATGGAGCAATGTTATCATTCCATATGTTGCAGGAATAACTGAAAAACTCAAGAGGATTTTCAACCAACATAACATACCTGCACAATTTAAACCCAGGAATACATTAAGGCAAAAACTTGTCCACCCCAAGGACAAAGCACCCAGACACAAACAGGGCAATGTATATGTAGTACAATGCAGCAAGACATGTGCAGACTGGTACATGTCACGAACATATGACACAACACAGGAAAACCAGCTCATCAGGACAGGATTCAGCAGTCTATCTGCATCTGAAATTAAAGGGTCAGATTTTTGAAGACAGCAAAGGTCATATTCCAGACAGAGAGGACCACTGGTTTGAAAGAAGGGTCAAAGAGGTCATCTATGTTAAAACTGAACAGCCTTATCAATGGGGGAGGAATAGATACTGCCTGTCTCCTGTCTACAATACAGTTGTTTCAGCAGTCCCAAAAAGGTTCCACGCCCATTTGGACTCTGAGATATAAATAAACCCCTAAGTGGCCTCAACTATTCTCAGAGGGCTAACAACCAACCCTGAAAGTGCGAATGACCAAATGACTGCAAAGAACATAAATCTTTCCATTGTCTTCACTTAGAATTGAAGAAGCTTCTTGGAGGAGAAGCAAAATGTTTTCAAATAAAAACCAAGAAAGTCCAGTTGCCTTTTGGAAAAGCATGATTTTGGGACAGCCATGACCTGGATGGTTGAGAATCTCCATAGCCAATGTTCTCTTTAATTTTAACTCTTTATTGTAAGTTAGTGCTTAATTATTACTACCCTGTCAGAGAAACATTCCAATATATCTTCCAATATAATGAGTTATATTGAGATTTTCTATGTTACCTATCTCTGTCGGGCCCTGCGAGGCCGTCCCAGCCGCGTACGGCCTACCTCCCACCACCCCGTTTACCTTGCCCGAGCCGCAGTCCAGGGAAGCCGGCCGACCCGTCGTTCCGGCGATGCCGCCGCAGCCGCCGATGCCGCCGCTCTCCTCTGACGTCATCACCCTGCGCCTCACAGGGCCCGACAGAGGATTTGAGAGGAAGGGGCCGGATGAAGCCTCCGTCCTAGCGCAAAGCGACGGAGG